TTCTGGACCCGCTCCAGCACCTCAATGTCCTTCCTGAACTGAGGGGCCCAGAGCTGAACACAATACTCAAGGTGTGGCCTCACCAATGCAGAGTACAGGGGAAGGATCACTTCCCTGCTCCTGCTGGCCACACTGTTCCTGATGCAGGCCAGGATGCCATTGGCCTTCTTGGCTACCTGAGCACACTGCTGGCTCATGTTCAGCCTCCTGTCGATCAGCACCCCCAAGTCCCTTTCTGCCTGGCTGCTCTCCAGCCACTCTGTCCCCAGCCTGTAGCGCTGCAGGGGGTTGTTGTGGCCAAAGTGCAGGACCCGGCACTTGGCCTTGTTGAACTTCATTTCATTGGAGTTTGCCCATCTCTCCAGTCTATCCAGATCCCTCTGCAGAGCCCTCCTGCCTTCCGGCAGGTCGACACTCCCTCCCAACTTGGTGTCATCTGCAAATTTGCTGATGATGGACTCAATCCCCTCATCTAAATCATCGATAAAGATGTTAAAAAGGACTGGGCCCAGCACTGACCCCTGGGGGACACCACTGGTGACCGGCTTCCAACTGGATGCAGCTCCGTTCACCAGCACTCTCTGGGCCCGGCCCTCGAGCCAGTTCCTGACCCAGCAGAGAGTGCCCCTGTCCAAGCCGTGGGCTGCCAGCTTTTCCAGGAGTATGCTATGGGAGACAGTGTCAAAGGCTTTGCTGAAGTCCAGATAGACCACATCCACAGCCTTTCCCTCGTCCACCAGGTGGGTCACCTGATCGTAAAAGGAGATCAGGTTGGTCAAACAGGATCTGCCCCTCCTAAACCCGTGTTGGCTGGGTCTGATCCCTTGTCCATCCTGTAGCTGCTGTGTGATTTCACACAGGATAATCTGCTCCATAACTCTGCCAGGCACCGAGGTCAGGCTGACAGGCCTGTAGTTACCCGGGTCAGCCTTGCAGCCTTTTTTATGGATTGGGGTGATATTTGCCAACTTCCAGTCGTAAGGGACCTCCCCAGTGAGCCAGGATTGTTGGAAGATGGTGGAGAGCGGCTTGGCAAGCTCTTCTGCCAGCTCCCTCATTACCCTAGGATGGATCCCGTCTGGTCCCATAGACTTGTGAGGATCCAGATGACTCAGTAAGTCACTAACTATTTCCTCCTGGAATACAAGGGGACTATTTGGTTTCCTATCTCTGTCTACCAGCTCCAGAGGCCAGTTGCCTTGAGGGCCACCTGTCCTACTGGTAAAAACTGAGGCAAAGTAGGTGTTAAGTACCTCAGCCTTCTCCTCATCTTTATTAACTATGTTTCCCTCCAAGTCCCTCAAAGAATGGAGGTTTTCTTTGCCTCTCCTTTTGTTATTAATGTATTTATAGAAGGACTTTTTATTATCCCTAACAGAAGTGGCTAATTTAACTTCAAATTGTGCTTTTGTATCCCTGATTTTCTTTCTGCATGATCTAGCTGTCTTCCTGAATTCTTCGTAAGTAGCCAGCCCTTTCTTCCATAGTCGGTAAACTCTCTTTTTATCCCTGATTTCCTTCAGAATCTCCCTGTTTAACCAAGCTGGTTGTCTTCCCCGCCGGCTTGCCTTTCGGCACACCGGTACGGCCTGTTCCTGTGCACTCAAAACTTCCTGCTTAAAGCACATCCATCCCTCCTGGACTCCCTTGTTTTCAAGGGTTGTTTCCCAGGGTATGCTCTGGACTAGACTTCTGAATAGGTCAAAATCTGCCTTCCGGAAGTCCAGCGTAGAGGTTTTATTGTTGTTTCTCCTTGAATCTCTGAGTATTGAAAATTCTATTATTTCATGGTCACTGTTTCCCAGGCGGCCTTCAACCAGTACATCTCCCAACAGCCCTTCTCTGTTTGTAAACAGCAGGTCTAGCAGGGCCTTACCCCTGGTAGGTTCATTTACCAGTTGATGAAGGAAATTGTCCTCTATACACTCCAGGAATTTCCTAGACTGCCTCTTCTCTGCAGTATTGAGCTCCCAGCAGATATCTGGCAGGTTAAAGTCACCCACAAGGACAAGGGCTGACGATTTCGAGACATCTGCCAGCTGCTTGTAGAATATTTCATCCCCTTCATCATCCTGGTAGGGCGGTCTGTAACAGACACCTATGATGATGTCGGCCTTGTTGGTCTTTCCCTTGATTCTGGTCCACAGGCACTCAACCTTATTGTTGCTGATCTCAAGTTCAACACAGTCAAGAGACTCTCTAACATATAAAGCCACCCCTCCACCTCTCCTATCCTGCCTGTTCCTTCTGAAGAGCCTGTAGCCATCCATGGCAACACTCCAGTCATGCGAGTCATCCCACCACGTTTCTGTGATGGCGACTACATCATAGCCTTCCTGCTGCACAATGGCTTCCAGCTCCTCTTGTTTGTTACCCATACTGCGTGCATTAGTGTACATGCACTTCAGGTGGGCTGTTGATTTAATTCTTAACTCAGGCTTTCCATCCTTAGGCTGATCACTGGAGAGCCCGGTTCCAACCCCTTCCCCCTTCAAACTTAGTTTAAAGCCCTCCTGATCAACCTTGCTAACTTATGGGCTACAGTCTTCTTCTTCTTTCTAGAAAGATGAATCCCATCTGATTTTAAGAAACTAGGTACCATGGAGTTTTCCCCATGGTCAAAGAAACCAAAATTTTGACGGTGGCACCAATCCTTTAGCCATCTGTTGAGGAGTTGGGCTTTTTTACTCCACTCTTTATTTAACTCCTCATCCATCCCAGACAGTACAGGAACTGAGGCAAATATCACCTGTGCTCCTGTCCCCTGAACTGACCGACCCAGTGCTTTGAAGTCCTTTTTAATTATCCTGGCACTTCTTCGATTAATGTCCTCACTGCCAGCCTGGACTACCACCAGTGGATAATAGTCTGAGGACTGGATTAACTCAGGTAGTCTCTTACTAATATCCCTCACCCTGGCCCCAGGAAGGCAGCATACTTCTCTCTGGGATGGGTCTGGGCGACAAATAGGGCCCTCAGTTCCCCTCAGAATGGAGTCACCGACTACAACTACCCTTCTTTTTTTCTTTATACCTGTGGTTGTAACCCGTCTATTAGACAGGGCCGAAACAGGAAGCTCTCCAGAGAGATCTTCTTGGCTGTCCTCTGCCTGACTGTCTGGGTCCAGGGACTCATATCTATTCTTCAAGGGTACCCTAGGGGGTGATGGGGGTCGAGAGGGAGTTCTTTTACCTCTCCCATTAGGGACCTGTTTCCATTCCCCCCCATCAATTTGGTCTGCTCCATCTGCCTTATGGCAGGAGGGGCAGGGCTTCGCCGTCTCCTGTTTGACTTCCTTAGGGTTCAAAAGGGTTTGACTCCACCAGTCAATTTCTTTTTCACTCTCCCTAATGCACCTTAATCTCTCTACCTCGTCCTTAAGTTCTGCTACCAAGCACAGCAAGTCACTCACCTGCTCGCATCGTATACAGCTACCTCCTACATCATCCTCCGGTACCAACATCAGGCTCAGACACTCTGCACACCCAGAGACCTGGGTGGCTGCATCCTTCTTCGAGGGGAGTGTCTGAGCAGACACACTCCGAGTATTAACAGCAGTAATGGCTTTTGTTTTTCTGGAAACCATTCCTAACTCTAAAAAGCACACTCACCTACAAAAAGTGGGAGCTGGTTGAGCCCTGCCTGCTTGAAATGCCTTGAAATTGCTGTGCCACACCCCTGATGCCCTGCTCCTGTGGGGTGCGTGAGCGAAGGTCGCTCACGCTCCTGAAGGCCTTATATAGCCTTCCCTATCACCACCTAATGAGCCT